GAAGTGCTGGTTCTGACCAATGATAACTTTCACGCGGAAATTGAATCGAATGAATTCGTTCTTGTCAAATTTTGTACGTTGCCATTTTTAACTCGATTTATTCTCAGATGCACCCTGGTGCGGACATTGTAAGTCAATGGCCCCAGAATATGCGAAAGCCGCAACTATGCTTGCAAACGAAAAGTCACCAGTAAAATTGGCCAAAGTCGATGCGACCGTGGAGACCAAGCTGGCTGAGGAATACCAGATTCGTGGCTACCCTACCTTAAACTTCTTCGTGAAGGGTAAAAGCATTGAATACAACGGAGGACGTACTGCTGAAGCCATCGTGGAATGGGTGAAGAAGAAGACCGGACAGGCCATCACTGAAGTCAAAACCGTCGAGGCCTTCGATGAGCTCACTCAGAAGAATAAATTCGTTGTTCTCGTCCTTTCCAAGGTACGTACATTGTTAAGTGAGAGGAGACTTGTTTAGGACACTTCCTCGAAAGAATACAAGGCCGTCGAAGAAGTTGCGATGGGACAGGATGTTCCGTTTGTTCTCTGCACTGACCCAAAAATGGAGGAGAAACACAAGCTGACCTCGGGCACAAAAGTCGTCCTAATCAGAAAGGTATGCTCATCGATGGAAGATTGTTTATTTCATCCATTAAGCAATCTTAATTTTTCCCATTTTTCTGAAATAGCTTATTTTAAGTTGGAAATGTGGTCGTACGTAAATTGTGTAGTTCCTGAAAAGGAGATTTAGATGTGATCGCAAGTTATCATCACTTATGCTTGCGATTGTCATTCCCTGTGTAAGTAGGACGAAACTGCATGCGCTGTTCCCATGATGATATTAATCGTGCAACCGGCAAATACTAGCCCTACTGGACGCTAGACCTGCATTCTAGGGACTACTCCATTCCTTCACTATTCTGAGTTACCGCCGTGGGTTACGTGCTTAGGAATTAAGAAAGTGCAAACGATCCAGCGTTGCTTTCGGCATTTTATGTCTTTTATTCATGATGTTCGTTTTTCCCATTTAGTTTGATGAACCTTCTGTCGAATACGAAGGAGAATTTGTTGCTGCCGACCTGACCGATTTTGTCCAGAGTCACATGATCCCGCTGGTTGTCGAGTTTGACGAGGAGACTGCGGCTCAAATATTCGGAAGCAAGATTAAGTGGCACGTCATGGTGTTCATGGCCAAGAGCCAAGACCACTACGAACCATACAGAAAGATCTTGAGAGAAGTTGCCACTGAATTCAGAAACAAGGTAAACATGTTTTTCTCATCTGATTATTTGCAAATTATCCTTGTTTTCGAAATTGGCAGTAAATTAGCGCGTTTATTACCTCTTGAGTCTTGAGATGTAAAATAAACACAAGCCCGTATGTGCTTTGTCTCACCCTAGATTTCGTTTACACTTCAGGCAATTACAATCTTTATTAGGAAAAAATCACTCGAGACTAACAGCTTATCCATTTTTTTATTCCACAAACTACTTAAACTCTCCCATTTCTGCTGTTTTTTTACTAGGCACATGCTGTGATTATCGATATCGACGTGGAGAATCATGAAAGAATTCTTGAGTTCTTTGGAATATCCAAAAAAGACTGCCCAACTTACCGTGTGGTTGAACTTGAGGATGCCGTTAGGAAATTCAAACCTGAAGCCATTGAGTTCAATGTTGAAGCTCTTCGGACCTTTGTTGGTGGTGTACTGGGTGGTTCAATCAAACCATACTTGCAGTCGGCCGAGCTTCCTGACGACTGGGATAAGGAGCCTGTCAAGGTTTTGGTTGGCAAAAACTTCGACGAAGTTGCCAAAGACAAGTCCAAGACGGTGTTCGTTATGTTCTGTAAGTGTATACCAGTTATGTTCACATTGCCTATTCTTTCACTTCGGTCTGATGTATTAAGGGAATTCATCTTTATTTATCGTTAGATGCCCCATGGTGCGGACATTGCAAACAGCTCCACCCTATTTGGGAACAGCTTGGTGAACATTACAAAGATCATCCCGAAATCGTTATCGCTAAGATTGATTCCACTGCTAACGAACTGGAGGATATCAAAATAACTGGTTTCCCTACACTGAAGCTCTTCCCTAAAGATGGAGACAAAGTGAGTTTATTGCGCTTACGTGCACAGTCGTTGATTGCTATAGCTTTTTTTCTTTCCGCAAACCTGAGGTTGCTAAGTAGAGGAAAATACTAATTTAGGTTTGACTGATTAAGGCCACCGGTGGGGATAGACAACCTGGCCTTCCATCTAACTGTTATGCATTCACTTATAATGTACGTGTCCTTAACAGCTTTCGACATTTACTAAGTGCTGATACGCGCCTAGGAAGACCACCATACCACTTAGTCTACCTCGCGAGTAGTCGCGAAACAACAGAAAGCGAATAGGGCGCGAAGCCTTGCAGCTGCTTCTGCTACGTTTTGCCAACAACTACCACATACAGATGAAGTTGTGCGAATCCCTGATCAACTGCCAGTAATGGGGTCCACTATTTCTGACGTGAGATGCAGTAATGACAAAGGAACTGCTTGGCTTTGCTACAAAAGGCCTCCAGTGTCTGCAGACGCTTGTAGGCCGCCATTGCGGCATCGTGGTCAGTTCAACGCTCCTTACAAGTTGCATATGGTTCTCAAATGGTCTTCTTCGCATACCTACGGTTCCACCTGTTGTCTAATCCCATTCTGGAACTCAAATCAAACAAGGTGTAGTCCGGTAGACATAAGGTAATCCTGATGCAAATTGTAATAGTCTCTGTCTAGACCGGCACTAGAAACTCAGCCTTTCGAGATTGACTGATCGGGCACACCTCTCGCCAATCACTCCAAGGGGCTACTAGACGGATTGCGCCTCAAAGGGTTAGTGACAAGGGTCAAAACATCAAGAAACAAGTCGCAGGCTGGTCGTGAGGGCTGGATGATTTAGATTTTGCTAATGTCAGATAACGCTCCAACAATGCTGAGTAAACCTTTCTTCATTTATCCGACGCTACTTGCTTCTCCTTAATTGTTTACTAAACAGCTTGAGCAAGATCCACCAGTGATGGCTTCCTCCAGTTTTACAAATTGACTGCGAATAGCGAACTCGAGAACTGTTTCGCTGAAATTAATATTTGATGAAGCCATCATGCAGCACCGACAACACCGAATGACTATCAACTTATTTGTAACGGATCCGCGTGTAGGAACTGTGCTTGAGTCTAATGCTCCGTCAATTTCAATCCGCGGCTACGGCGACTTCTGAAGAGCGAACTTTCGTCATCTGTCCCGTTTATTGTCACATGGCGTTGCAGAGGACAAATCTCCGGTGCAATACCGATTCTACATGACAATCACAGAGGACACCTTTGCCAAAGTCCTGTGTCTACAGAGGTACAGAGGGGTTATGAAAGAGATCGCATTAGAGCGTTGAGACTTAACAATCCTTGTGTTCATCTTCAAGAAGGATGACAAATCTACTTTTACACATCTCGTAGACATGCCTGCACGGATATTCATCTTAATTCCCAAGATAGTCCAAAATTACATGTTATATAGACGACAACCAGCCAAACGGGCTTCCTAGTTGAATTTGATTTCAGCCTTACCAGCATGGCATTCCTTTCCAACTATCGACTGCTGACGACCCTCTGCTTCACTAGTCTTTTTTACGGCCTTTGATTAAATTCATTGGGCGTCCCTGTTTGTGGATGATGGCACTACACCGTGTGCCGATACTTGCCATGATAAAAGTTTGCGTGTACTTGGCTTAGGCACCCTACTTGTTTCTGGAATCCTCATGGTCTTTTAGTATTTGATTAGCCCACCATTAGGAATGCACCTCGCACTCATCCTATTAAACTTCCCCAGCGATTGAGTTCTGCAGAGTGCTTTGCGCATTAATAAAAAAGCATTCTGGCAGGTTTTGGTGAGGTTGACGCCAGGTCTTCCAGATGTATACTACGATAACTTGCAAACTTGTATGCCCAGTCGATGGGTCGATTTATATATCAACCACAGCTGCAAATGCCAACGCGTTTTTCAAACTTATTTTTGACCAGAAGACAGTCCTTAATTTCGAATTGTTGCGAATCGGGAGACCTTGCTGGCCGAGCAAAGACTATTTTTTCGCCTTAATGTAGATTCCAGCTTTTGTGAGCCTTAAGTGTTTTTAGCTCCGCATGTATGAAACATCCTTTCGGCCAATTATGTGGTTATGCGCGTTAGGCTGCAGGCGTAGCCAGTAACTTTTACATCTTTATCGCTTAGTGACGATCTACCGCATAAAGCACATTAGCTCTGACTTCAATGAGCTTAACCTTGGTCGCTACAGCAGCGTCACAGCGTATTAGGCCACACAGGAAAACGATTTAGAGTTGCTGGGCATCAACGTAGCCTTCACGGATGCGGTGTTGCTCTAGCTTACGTCCACTAACACCGGGCTGGATGGATACAGGAAGGATTGGTTGTCCTTGAGCCTTTAATGTT